AAATGAATTCAGTGTTAATGAAGGCAAATTTAACAAACTCTGGTTCTTTAATTATTTTGTCTTATGCATGAAGACAAATTCAGAACCCTCAGAGGAACTGACTATCAGAAACTATAAGGTGATTCCATATTTTAGTATTGCTAATAAATTCATCCACATACATACACATTAAGAGCCCATTAAACTGCCTGCCAGTAACGTACAAGAGAGAGGAAAAGAAGCGTTAATGACCCTGGATCTCAGCATTCCCATGGGAGTCTGTGTAACAGAGGAGTGTGTAAGCAAATGGAAGTTCTTTCTTTAAGGTTTAAAGAAAAAGCTAGACAAATTTACCAAGAATCCATTTTTTTTTCCCAAAGCCCAGAATTCAACAGGTATCTCTTTTCACTTGTGCTCTGTAAGTGAAAGAGGCTCCTTGCTGTCAGGGAACCAGTTTACCAGGGTTTGGCATATGGTGATCTCAGACAGGCTGCTAGCTGTTCTGCACCCAGAAGCATCCAAACAATCTGCACTCAGCCTTAGGAGAAGGCCAGCTACGATGTTCTTAGCTTAGAGGATCAGCTATGTTCAGGATCAGAACAGTGCTTGCAATCAAGAGCTATTTTAATCCTTGAAGTCCCTTGAGCCTAAAATCTCTCCAGTCTAAGCAAGCAGGTTCACACCTAAGACCAGCATGCTGAAATCCAWCATTCCACATTCAAAAATTCATTATTACCATACAGAAGAAACAGGAAAAACTGTCAGCTTACTCCAAGCCAGCTGAGTACTGAAGACCTCTAGTGGCTGTGGTGGAGCTAGCCCAGTCTCAGAGAGGACAAACCCATGGCAAAAGCCCCAAGTCTACTAGATGCAAATTCATGTCACTGGGGGTTCAATAACCTAAGGCAGTCAGGCACTTAAACCCTTCAGCTGTATAACACCCAAATATCTTCAAAGTGGATGATGACTCTGCTCCAACTATTTGTCCAGAAGATCATCTAGGGAATAACAGATTTGCCGAGAGCCTGACAGTGAGGACACCTGCAGAAGACCTGTCGAGGAGTCAGGGACCAGTAGAGCACATGGTGGCAGGCCCAGTGCATGGACCTGCATGGGCCAAATGCCCCTTGGGGCCAGGCTGCATATTCTGCTTCAGCGACAGTCACATCTTCCCCAAATAGTTTATTCTTTCCATGCCCCATAACTGGATAACATTCCCACAGTTTTTCTCCCCTTACAGAAAAGTATTACAGTTGCTGGAAGTTCAGAAAGAAATCCCTTATGTCCTGTTATCTAGTCCATCTTCTCTGTGCCTCTGAAGAATATATTCTCTACTATTTGTGGTTTTCCTTCTTTCAGCTAACATGAACATCCTTCGCACTGATATTATAGTAGCTACTAAGAAACCTGGGGAGAAAAATTGGTTCATCTAGACAGAATAATAAAGATCAGCAAGAGTGTCTTGATTATCCAGTCTGACTTYCTGCACACTACGCACCAGAGCGTTACGTCCTCAATTCCTGAATAAGCCAGCAAGTATTTTTAAATGGTCATTCAGCTCTACTTTTAAGTCAGTATATACAGTGCATATACTGTATATATATGAGTATAGACAATGGGAGCTTCTGGACTGAAGAATCCCAGGCTGCAGCAAACGAGACAAGTCGTGGGTGGCTCTATGGACAATCTTAACACAAAATGGAGAAGTTCTGTTTCACTTGAAATTATTCCTAAAAAAGCAAACAACAAAGCCTTTTCTAAACATTTACCTTGCACCTCTCCCATGGCAATTCGAAAAACAAAACAGCATATGCAGTGCATGTCTAATCACATTTTAGCATTAAGAATCTACATTCTATAACATGACGAAATATAAACAGTTAATGATTTTAATAAATGAGTCAATTATTCACATGGCATATGACCTACACTGTTAAAATAGATCAAAAASCCATGTTGTTTAAAAAGCCCCAGGAATAGAAGTGAATGGATTCTCACATTCTCTGTCACCCCAGTGTGGGTAGCATGGCTATTTGCAAACAGAGACAAAACTTAGCRAGCAGGGATTTGGACTCCCACACCTCACCTTGTTCAGGCAGCAATCATGCTCATTTGGAGCCTCTGATTTGACTGAATTACATTAAATCAACAGCACAATGTAGAAAATGAGGGGAGCACAATCACAGAGAGATTCAGAAATGTTCTGCCCAACATTATTAGCAAAGTTTTATTCAACATAAAGCTGCTTTAAGATTCACTAGTGTAATTTAGATGGCTCTTCCCCCATAAGAAAGTGATAAATGCTTGCTGCAGCAAGGCTTTGATGACATGCAAATAGCTTTTCATGGGGTAATGCTGCTTAAAAATTGCCATCAGTGTGGCTAAGACACAGCACTTGCACCGCTCAGTTATCAGATGGTGACAAGTTCAACCTTGAGAGAGCCCGCACAAAGCACCGTTGGCCGGTACTTCTGCACAGATGAAGGGATGACAGTAGAAACTACTTTGGGTTTGGTTCCTGTCCTTCTAAAAATACCCATAAACAAAAAATGACTGAGCTCTGGATGGACAGAATCTGTAACAAGCCACAAAACTTTCAGGAACGAGGGTGGATGCAGCCTGCTTAGAGCAAGTAATATGGACAACAAAGACTCATCTTTATCCGCAATGAGCAAATCCTTTAAGAAAGCTCCTTAAAACTAAACTTGTAAAGATTCAGACCTTAATTAAACAAAGTCTACATTGCTAATGATTTGAAATTAATAAGACTTCCTCTGCAATGCTATTTTTCAGATGAGGTTTAATGATCATCAYGTAACTGTGCATGTGTCTTTGTAATATAAATAATTCTACCATTTGATCTCCATTTTTTTAAATGGCACAAGGACAAGCCTATATGATGAACTAAAATCTAAAGTTTGCAGTTCATAAGAACTATACAGAAGATGACAGATCAATGCTAAAACTGCATTTCTGAAATACATCTGTAGTAAAAACTTTCAGCCCAGAACAACAGCATTTATTCTAACAACATCACTGCTTAGTTTGGTATACATCCTTATTATCTCAGTCTTACTCCAAACATTAGTCTTTCTACTCGAAATAATAGATCCAAACCATCCAAGCAACTTCAAAACAGAATCATTAAAATCATGTTTTTGGAAGAGAAAGATGTAAAGATTTTAATGATTCTGTTTTGAAGTTGCTTGGATGGTTTGAATCTTTACATCTTTCTCTTCCAAAAACATGCAATAATCCAYCATTGGTATCTTGTGAGGTGCTCACAAGGTCATTTCCAAGAGAATTAATGAATTACAAGACTCAGTTCTCAGRTGCTAATTTTTTGATACTGTAAGGAATTTGTTTTGAGAATGAGCTTATCTTAATGCACTTAATAAGCTATCATCCAATGTCCACTGACACATATCAACAGTCTTCTCAGAAAACAGAAATGCATTCCTTCTCCTGAGCAGCACAGTAATGCAACAAACATGGAAACGTCCGCCACAAAACAACTAACCTCTGCATTTCCTAAGCACTAATCTTCCACTCCTCAGAGGTAAGGAGCTTGACAAATTATTCTAGCCCTATTTTAGGATCATAGACTGTAGATGATGGTAGATGATAGTATATCTTCTTGCTCCTTTTCTTCCCTCTAGACTCTCCTCCTAACCCCAGGAAGGAGAGGTGGTTGCCACACAGCAACACTGCGTGATGGATGCTTGAAGCAGGTAAAGCTGTTGCTGGACAGTGCTCCTAAGATTTAGCGAAAGGAAGGGCTTAAGGTGCCTCACCAAGGTGCTGTTTTTCATCCCTTCCTCTCCTCCTTAACAGAAGCACAAAAATCCGCCAGGAAAAGAGACTTTTGAATTCTGCTTCACTGTTTGCCTCAATGATAGAGAGCTACCAATTCAACACCAATAACCTGGGCTTTTCCTTAGCAAGGTTGAGACTTCATGTGGGCATAGAGAGGAACATAAACTGAAGCTGGTCTCCTTGTACAGAAGTGCCAAATAGCTCTCCGCACATCACTGGGCATCTCTACAGTTTCCTCCTCCTTTCAGAGATGAGTGATGCTAGGTGGGTCACACTTGCACTTACAGTAGACATAGGTTAACAAACAACAATGAAACATGACAAAAAATCTCACCAGAGTTACCTCCGCACACAACAGTATCATATGCCAGAAAATCTGGGGAACCAGAGAGTTTAGAAACAAAACACGAGAGAACTGGTAAACATTCAAGGCAAGTCTTCAATACTTCTGATATTTTATCCACATACTGGTTAAACCTTAAAACTTGTTTCAGTGGACAGAAGAGAGAGTAGATCTCTACTCTAGAGAGTAGATCAGGATCTGATCTGACTGCTGCAGAAAGGTTTGCTAAAGTATATACAACTAAGAGAACACATGGAGTCCACAGCAGCTGAGAATTAGAAATAAAACCCAAGAAGGAGCTCAGAAGTCAAGCTGAAGGGCAGTATAACCAGGATAACAGCCTGAAACTAGGAAAAGAAAAATGTATGTCTGACACTAGGAACACATTTTTTTTTTCTATCAGGAAGATCATTAGATAATGGAATAATTTCCCAAGGGAAGTTGTTGAGTCAAACACTAGAGGCATTCAAAGAAKGCCTAGATTAAAAAAAGCCCAGACGATTGATCTGGAGGGCAGCCCTGCACTAATGACCCAAGAGGCTCTTGGCAGCACAGTGAGGATTCTGCTCTTGAAAAAACACAATTCTGAACTTCCATAGCAACAYGTGAGCAAAAAATAAATGCAAAATATAATAAAAAACAGAGGAAACATTCAGGCAAAAGGTTGTTTTCTGCTTACAGTTTTTTCCTTTTTAGTACTAATGATCTCTATGAATTCATTATATGCAAGAAATCCCACCACATATTTATTCATTATATGCAACAAATACCAACATGTATTTATCAATACAGTGATACTAATAAAATAAATCAAAACTATGAAATGTGTTTTTCCAGAGAACTAACAATAGCAACAACTTGCCTTGTGAAACACAATGGACATCATGAAGAAATCCATGAGGAAGTTTTCTGAAATGTCTTTGTAGTCAAATTGGAAGAATATTACAGTAAAGCTCAAGGTAACAAATTGATTAATAGGATTACAGAATGAGGAGCGGAGAAGTTTCATCCCAGCAACTGTTATCAGGATAATATCACAACTGTGAGAAAAGCAGGAAGAAAAACCTAATCAAGTCAAAGTAATAAAACATGAAATTACTAAACTGCTAAATATAAATAGCATTAATGGATGTATTCTGGATTGCTAAGCATATCTGATCTTACATAGCATTTTGATTTCTGATATCGATATTATGTTATGCTTTAATAATAACATCTATTTTACCCATCTGCAACATAAAATTTCCTTGTCATTATCACATGCTTACAATCTGCAACAAAGAAATAATATTGTACTGTAAGAGTAGTTTAGAATCAACAATAAARAATTTTATATATAGCTCTTGAAACACAATTTCAGTTTGGGAGTTGATTTTAGTATATCTATTATTATTATTATTATTACCTAAATTTGAGAAAACAGTCTCAAGCCACTCCATTTTTGTCTTATTACTAAAATCTGCAGTTGGTAACAAAGATTATGAAAGTGTTCTAACTTGATCATATGTTACACCATAATCCCGGAGACAAATAACCACAGACTGGGTGCACTTGAAGCTCTTATCATTGTCCTTTAGCTGAATGTTGTCTCTTCTGTACATTAATTTCTTCCTCAGATGAAAAGTTGCACATGATATCTGTATATTACAAAATGTGTGAGATCCTTTTCTCTCTCCCTTAATATAATAAGGAGTGAATTTAAACTGAGAAACCTAAATAAGGGCTCACAGTGAAAATCAACAAGTCCGTCTCAAAGCAGAGATTCAACAGGAGGAGCTGGGGGTGCCATACAGGGGTGGGTTGAGAGTCTGAGGGCCACCTGGGGCTGGGAAATGTTTGCTTTTGGATTCCTTTCTTCTCAGGGAAGTGTTATAACCAGCAAGCTGCTGCAGAAACATTCGGCATCACTAGTGCTCTTCTGAAAGAAAAGGGCTGGCTCCATTCTCTGCATGAATGATGAGAAGCACGTAGCCACACCGGACAGGGCGAGGAATCCTCTCCTGTGGTTTTGGGTCAGGGTGATCTTAGAAAGGGAAGTATTTGCTGACACCTCACTATCCTGAGGCTTTCTGTTCACCAGCTCTGGAGAGTTGCCTGCTCAGCAGTCTGCCTGGCCTTCCGTCACGCTAAAGGAGGAGCCAACATGCTTGACATTGGGTTTGGATTCCAGTTGGGTGACCAAAGTTAATAAGCTGCATGGCTGAGGCCTTTCTAGGATCTAACTCTCAGGTTGTAATTAGCAAGAGATCAAACTGCAATCTAAGCAAGATCATCTTTGCAATTCAGTGAAGTTATCTTAAAACTATATGAACAACTACAAGTCTCAGAGAACATATATGTCTAGAGTTCATTAGTTTTCTAATTTAAAGGAAGTCTAATATATTCCTAATACATTCCTTCTTGTGCTATCTGCCTGGCATTTTCAAATGAACTGCAGACTGAAGGAAGCTTCTCCCCTCTCCGAGGAACAAACTGCATCAGCCCTTTAAAGCACAACAAGTTGAGACTGTTTAAAAACAATATATCCAACTGGAAAAGAATTCCAAAATAAAACAGTACAAAACCATGTCACCTCAGACACTTTCAAACACAGAAAGAATGAACACCTTCCCTTCTCCAAAGGATGACAGTACTAAAGATACATAGAGAGAATCTCCCCAAGTCACAGAGTATCTGTGACTGAAGTCTGGGCATCCCTTCAGTGGAATTTATCTGAAAAGCATTTAGAAAGTGTATTTTTATGGGCATGCTTAAAGCTAGTTTTAAATCCAAGATGATCACACAGACACAAGAGGGAAGGAGGARAAAAGGATTGTTATGCTATGCCCCTAAAGGCTAAACAATCAGAGGCAGAAACAAATGTAATTACATTCTTTAATCTCAAGATTTTGGGGGACTGACTCACTGCTTTTAAACATTTGAGGCAGGTGATACTTTAAAGTGCAATCTAGCTTTGAAGAATGACTAYGCATAAATACCACCTTCTAGCACTTTCCGAAGTCCACACATTTGTTCCGTGCATGTAGCCAGTCACGTCTGCTAACGAGTGACAAAAGTTTTGATTAATCTTTAGTTCAGCCAGCCTTGCAAAACCAAACACWGCAGCGAGTTGTGACCTCAGTTTTACCCTGGACAACACACGTAACCTCCTAAGCCACCATGGCCTTATCACCTCCAGATGCCTGACACAGAGAGCCCCATGGGCAACTACACGGGTTATCTTTGAGTGACTGCTAAGAGTCTCTCGGGAGATGCACTTGTCTTGCATGAATAACATGCAAAAGGTGGCTACCATTTTAATTCTAGTTTTAGCTCCCAAGAGCAGGGACCATCTTTTTCTTAAATTTGTGTAGTGTCTAGGCCAGAGACCAACAGAGACGAACAATTGAAACGACTTTAATGACTTTTTTTTCTTTAAAACATATATATATGTTTTTATAGACTACTTAAAAATTCAAATTCTATATTGTTACTACTGCTGACAATCCCCTCCTCCACCCCAGAGCAGTAGTTGTTCCTGTTACTGGACCGTGAACGCAGGCTGGTTTGGCTTTTGTTTTGCTTTGCTTTTAAATCATCTGAGCACTGTCACTCTGCTGAGACGAGTGCAGAAACGCTGCACGCTGGGGATGCCTGTGATTGCTAAGCCTGCTGCATCTCYGCAGTAGGTAAGTCATTGACCAAAATGGTTACCATAAAAGGCAGTTTGCAAGGATCATACTGTGAATCTATGGATCCACATCACCAGYGCTGCTTAATCTCAGAGATAACAGCCTTTGGAAGAGTTTATATCCTTATCTTTCTCAAGCTACTCAATGGAGGACTACCCACCATTCGACATTGTTGGATAGTTTGCCCAGCCTAACCCTAAGTGATATGGTGAAGTCCCTGGTAACTCCTTTGGGAGATTACTCTGCAGTCCTAAAAATCCTGACTGTTAGGAAATGTTTCCTGATATCGAGCCTAGATTTCTCATTCTCATTTTATTAGTTCTAGTTACCCCACTGTGATTATGCCCATCAAAGCACCTGCAGACCAGCATACTGTGCCCTGCATTTAATTGACGTTGAGACATTCCATATACATCTATATATAGCTCTTTAATCTTTTAATTTCCCTCTCACTTCAGTCATGTCTTAGCATGTACTGAGGTAGTTCTGATTCTTTCAACAGAGCTAGTGATTATTGTATACTGAAGCAATAATGACAGAAAAGCAAATTGCGACAGGCAGACTTATTTAAGAAATAATTTTAATCCCTCAGTGTTTATTGTAAATTTAATAGTCTGCTACTCACATGCTACGAATGATAACTTACTGTGCACCAAGCTTCTTGTATTTACTAATTGAGAAAGCATCAATGGTGAGGGCATTCAGTATTATAGCTGGATACAGGATGTACTTCTCAAAGCACTGAAGCCACACATAGAGCCTTTCAAACCACATCAAATGTGCAGCATCTGAAATAAAAATTCAGATAATAGGCCATTCCACCGCATGATCAGCATTTTTGTACAGTAATACTGAGGAAGTAAAGAAATTAGTCAGCTATAGGGCAGGGTTGGGTGGCGTAGGGAGGGAAAAGACAAATGGTGGGGAAGAAAGGGGGGGGGAACAACAAAAAAACCCATGTTCTCTAGTGTTTCAGGGCTGCTCATTCAATTCCTGCACTACTTTCTACATGCTTATTGTACCCTAAGAACATTTATTATAAAGTCAGCCTTTCTTCCTGCAGTCAGGCAAAACAATAACTAGCAATAAATAAAGCATCTCACAGGGACATTATCAGAACTGCTTTGATAATTGCTGTTTTGTGTGTRGAGGGCCTGGAAGTTTAAATGGCTCACCTGAAGTCTGCGAAACAAAGCCAGGAATAAACCTGTGGAACTGCCMTTAGGAGATGCTTATCTAACTGCAAGCCATTTTTGTTCTACCTACCCCTGTTGTCAAAAGCAGACAGGCAGAAACTAAAGCATGCACACAGTAAAAGCTCCATACAGACACCTGGTTTTGTATACTCGTTCTTTTCCTGTCTCCACCTGACAAATGCAGGACACTGCCCTTTTCTGAGCTTCTTTTTCTATAGAAACAGGACCTGCAAGCAAGTTCTGCTCCAAAGTTTTCTTACAGGTTTTGTAAAAGAAAAAAGTCTGGGTGACAGATACATCTATCAAAAGGATTACATAACCTTTTCCTCAACCTGTCTCATCCTCAAACATAAGAAGCCTCTGCAGCAGCCCAAGGGACTGGGAAAACAACAACAGTATTTTAATCCTGTTTTCCAACACACAGCACCAAATATATTGCAATAACACTTAAACCCCAAAGTGTGGAGAAAACTGCATAAGATATAATGTAAAAAACTACAAAAGAAGCTAAAAATCTCTGTTGCCTCCAGCAGGTAGCATGGGAAAGGCAGCTGATCTTACAGCAAAAGGAAGCCCATCTGTGGAGATAAGGCCTGGCAAGAAGATCTCTACCCTCAACCTTTTCAAACGCTGACTCACTGCATTTTGGAAAACAATGTTTTCTAACAAATGAAAATGGACTTAAACAGGACAAGGCAAAGAAATCTCACAGTTGCCTTTTTATGTTAAGTTCATGCAACAGCCAATAAACCCTGGGTATTCCTCAGAATTACTGGTTGGCAAAAAGAGCTGAAGCTCTGAACAGTGTTTTTCAGTTGCATATGAAAAAGATTTTTATTTCTTCAACACCTTCTTTGGCATATTGCAGTAAAAGTTAAAAGGTAACCTTCAATCAAGTCTCTTGGGAACATACCCAGGCCTTCTTTGGTAAGTAATCATTTCAAAAGACACTTTTTTTTTTTCCTTAAGATTTAAATCCTTAATGCGTGGTTTTACAGAGAATGATCTGAACCCTTTTGTAGTCTAGCTGAAGAAGAAACTAAAGTCCCTCTGCAGACTGTGTTCTGACAACAATCTCTTCAAACACCTCAGGAAAATATACTGGGAATGATTAAGGCACAGGAACCATCAAGGAATGACAAGTGAGCTTCTGGCTGGCAGCAAAGACAAGATGATAGCTGGGGATGAAAAGCACTGATTCTCAGAGAGTACTGGCTGCTTGTGGAAATAATTGTGTAAGAAAAGGAAACTGGACCCTGACATATTAAAATATTTATAGACATTTGTATGCGTCAGGGCATCACCTACTGAAGCCAGCAGACATGAGCAAAAACAAATCATCAAGGAAATTACATTATCAATTTTAATGTTCCTCTTGAATTGTTATGATAGAAATAAAGCTTTAAGTTGCATTATACATGCCATCAAAATGACACAGTAAAAAGCTAAAATGTAGAAGTAATTCTGCCTCAATTTCATCAATATTTTAAATTTAAGTTTTTAAATTATTTTAAATACCATTGACTTAACAGGAATTATAAAAGAGCAGGCAATGCAGCAAGTGACAGGATTGTAATGTAGATGTAAAAGGCACATCACATGATGGCTCATGAAGGGCCACTAAGATGATTAAGGGATTGCAGCACCTGACTTCTAAAGAGAGGCTGAAAGGGCTGGGGCTGTTCATCATGGAGAAGAAAAGGCTCAGGAGGCTGTTATCAGTGTGTAAAGACCTGATGTGAGTAAAGATGACGAGACAGATTCTTTTCAGTAGCTTCCAGTGTCAGGAAAAGAGGCAATGGGCACAAACTGAAACAAAGGAAAATCCATTTCAATATAAGAAAAAAAAATCCTTCTTACTGTAAAGAACTGGAACAGGTTGCCCAGAGAAGCGAAGGCATCCCCAGCTTTGGAGATGAGCAAAGCTCAACTGGACACAGCTGTGAGCAACCTGCTGTAGCTGACCCTGCACTGACCAAAGGGGTAGAACTAGACAATCTCCAGGGGTCGCTTCCAACCTCAGCAACTGTGCAGTTCTCTGAAGCAGTCGCGGGAGACTATAGGTGCAGATTGGTTTTGCTCAGCATTAAAAATGGAAGGTCATGGCAGATGTTATTTGTGAGTGAAATGCAAAGCATAATTTCTCCTCCTTACTGTCTTACTCATTAAAACCAAGAGAAGCTGCTAGCCACCGTTTAGAGAACATTTTACTACAAACCTCTCACTTCCCGTTGTCGATACTCTCTGCTTTTCAGTATGGGGTGGGAGATCCACAGCCAGGGGTGATGCTTGCGAAGCTGAGGAAGTACGTAATGGGTCACAAACCCCACAGTCCATGCTAAGGCAAACAGCACAATGCTGAGAAAGGGCTGTGCCGAGAGAGAGAAAAGAAACATGGTTATAATGGCAAACTTTTTTAAAAAATATTTCTAATAATTGTATTCTGTGCATTAGTTTTATTGTTATCCTTAAACTCTGCAGTTCTACATGTGGATATCAACATGGACTATGTAATGAGGCAACAAACTTGCAATCTTCACAATTAACCATTTTCCCCCAAACAGAGGCGGGGAAGGAGAGGGGAAGGAAATGGTCACGTTAGTCCATTGTGTTCCACAGCATAACACAGGTGAAGATCCAAAAAGATTTAAAGGAAAGAAACACTAAATGAAAAACACCATGACTAGTATAAATATCCATAAATTGATTGCATTCCACAGCAAAAACCCAAAGACAACAATGCCAATAAATACATTTTCTCTAAGTCCTCCTCCACAGTCTCTCTTCTTTCCAACCAAAGCACCTCAAGCACTTGCATACAACAGATAATACCTAGGGAAAAATAAAAGGCAAATAAAATAAAAGGGGTGGATACATACCCTCAATGACAGAAACACTGTGCTGGCACTGACTGCAAATGACAGAACAGCAGCAACTGTGCAAACAATCAGATCTGATTTCAAGATTTCTTTCTGCAAAAATAATTATTTAATACAAAATTAGTAAGTCAATACTATTTTAACTAGACAAAGTAAATGACTCCACTCTGAATTACCTGCAGCTTGCATTGTGACAGGGCTGATCATCACTCTCTAATACAAAAGTATTTTCTTCTTCTTTCTGGTTTGGAAAATTATTTCTTCACAGTCTAGGTTTGTCAAAGTGATTATATTTAAATTCATCATGACTAATTTTAAATAATATTTTTGAACTCATTTTTATCATCAGAGAAATGAAAGCAATACATTTTCACGGTGAGTTGGATTCTGTGCAAGGAAAATAACGTTATGGCTTTCCTGACTTTGTAAACTGAAATTCTAGTTCAATTTTCTATTTACACGCAGTAAGATTTCTTCAAATTATGTTTTTCTTGCATTTTTGAAATGACYTTTGCTTTTTGTAATGTCTTCAGAGACCTAAAGTTAAAATATATATGTTCTACAGTAACATATCCCATTCTCTGATTTTAGAATCAGAATCCAAATTTCAGCAAAACTGTAGGGGTGTCAGACAAAGCCTTTTTTTCCCCAGCATCACTGAATAATAATGAAAGAACAAGGCTGCCTTTTTATAAAGATCAGTAGCTGAGGTGAGAGTAATTTCATTTTGAAAGACTGACAAATATCATGCTCTTTCCAGCCCATTTTTCTTGTGATTAAAATGTCATTCTCAGGAAACAAATAAACGAGGTAACTTTTGAGCTGTATAATTTTCTGAATCATACTTCAGGGGTCACCCAGGTGTCTTTGTGAGAGTAAATGAAAATCTTAAATGATTTATGAGAGGGGTATTTAAGTTCAGCATTCAATATTGGTGCTGAATTATTACCCAGGTAACTCTTTGTAGCCCTTGATTTAAATATCAACTCTTGCTTTACCTTAAAGTCATCTACAAACATAAATCTGGGATACACTTAATTTGAAAGAAATTAATGTGATTTTGCAGCACTGGGATCTAGGTAGTTTTCCTCAATTTCACTGGAGAAGAAAAAAATGAATGATGGGATAGAAAATCCAAGAAGAGAGAGAAAAAGAAAGAAAATAGAACAAGTGTGCAACAGAACGGCTGCGAGTTACAGGGGAAGCAGGTAGCAACCACTATATTTAGGCTGCCTATCATGCTCCGTTATGAAAGAGGCTTCTTAGTAAAAGGTCACAAGCATCAGCACTTCCACTTACTGCAGCAGGCCTTTGAAATTCCGCAGGACTGAAAAAGCCTTCAGGCTCAAGAAGTACTTTTGCTTTGTCCCATGAAACTCCACTTGGGTTTAGCTGAATTATAAAGCAATAAAACCTGTCCTTTCCCTTCTCCTTCTTGGGTCATTCAGGAAAACATACTTTCAAAAAGAACWGCACTCACTCAGCTGCTCAAGCTATTCCCCCCTCTAACTGCACTGTTCTCAGCAAGAGCTACAGCCCAAAGGTGTAGGAGGAGAGTTAGGTCAAATTGTCCAGGACTGTCTTTCCAAGTGTGGCCCTGCTTTTGCTCTCTACTTCTTGGCAATAAATGGGGCACCTACAGGAGGAGGAGAAGAGCTTCCTTGTTCTTTTTTTCCTTCATAGGTTGATGATGRTTTCATGTAAAAATGAACTGGGTCTCCTCTTCTCTACAAACTGGTCAAAGAGCTGACTGCAGCACCATCTCTTTGGCCATGTCTTGTAACATATGTACTCAGCTCTTTAAAAGAAGAGGAAAAAAACCAAAAGAGAGAAAACTGGTATTCTTTTTTCTGAATTTTACATTTGAGAGGAGAAAAAATGCACCCCAAATCAATAGCATAACATTAGATGCTTCTTGCTTCAGAGATTATGCATGCAGAATATATTGCAGCATTTTTATTTTATTTATTTATTTTTTTAACTGTTTTCAATTATGCTTTTGGAGCTCTGCACAAATCCACTTACTAATTATCTAAATGTTTGTATTAAAGGCCCGGAAGGAAGCTGGGCCTGAATGTAACACATTAACACCCTCAGGCCACAGGTTAATCTAGTAATCAACCATTTGGATGCCTATAGAAATTAATTATAATGGTAGGAAGCTCCATCCTTAAAGTTGAATGGTCAATTATCCATCACAGCTGCTTTATAATTCCAGCTTCCAATGCTGACAATTCTCATGCAGCTGTTCAAGCAAAGGAAAATAGTAAAGGTCATGGAGCTAAACATTAGAGATGCTGTATTTATTATTACTAWCATGAATACAAAACCACTACAGAACACAACAGATTAATTTTCAGTATTAACCTTGTTTGCTTTCAGCTCCTTGAGGAAGAGAATTGGTTTTCTATACCTAAGGATTTCTGATTTAAAAAGGCCTTATTTAAATGGCATGTTATGTGCATCATAAATGTGCATATAGGGCAGGGCATGTCTGTTTTGTTGTTGTTGTTGTAGTATTCTGACACCTCCTGCCACTGCCAAGGGGCTRGGAATGCTCTCCTTGCAGAGGAGCACTCAGGAAAAAAATAAATAAATAAAAATAAATAAATAAAAGAGAGATTTCCAAGGTGTGCCATGAAATCCCCAAATCCAGACATATTGTTTCTCTCAGTTTCTCAACTGATTGAAGATCTCCCTGCAGAAACTCTGGAAGCTATTTAAGGTTTGCTTTTAAGGGCCAGGCAAGTCCCACATCATGGATGCAATTACTATTGCTGAAGCAAATGAGCAGAGTGATTGGATTGTGTTTCTTGGGCTTGTGGCACATGCATTTTTTTATTGCCTCAGTTCTTCCCTGCTTGATAGATAAGCACTGCACTGTGAGACAGCAGTGGGAGTCCCCTGGCAAATTGGTTAAACTGTCTAATTGTCGTTAAACTGTTTAATTGAAACAGAGGTAGCAGATATCACAGGGGTTAGACAAAGATTATGCGTAAATCAAAAAGTGCCCTCTCTTCCTTCAAGAGATCTCTCCACGTGGAAGAATTAGCCCTGTTAATTGTCATTAAAAGCAATCACATTTGCTTACAGTTTGTATACAGATTGCAGGAAACGTGGACAGAAGAAAGAAAGAGGAAGGTGAGGCAATAGGAAGCCCCAGCAACAAAGAACAAAAGCAGCAGCTTCTGCCTACAGAAATGGGACCCAGTGTCAAATGTACCGTGTGTACAGTGCAGATCCCCAAAACAGGTACATCCTAGAAAGAGAAAGGTGCCAAGAATCTCATTGAGCTGAACGCTAAAGCCAACGGCAAAGCACAGTGGGAATGAGACAGTGTAAAGAGCAGCAAGGGAGCAGCTGCTCCTGGCCAGTCCCATCTTGCTCTTCCTGCCCTCAGGACGGATGGTCCCAACAGCCCAAGGGCCATGGGATAACTGCGCTGCTGCAAGACACCTGACAGAGCTCTGGCCTACATCACCAGCACAGATATAGAGGAGATGGACAACTCGTGATAATGCAGCTGTAGCATGACTACCTTTTGGTATTACCTCCAGGATCTTACTCCTCAATCTTTTTTATTCTTTTGCTCTCGTTTTCCACACACTGAAGTTATAGTGCATTTCCTTCTGGACTGTGAAATGAAACCAGTTAAGGGAACAACCACATTAACTGGTTCAATCCCCTGGCAAAACTCCATCTGCAGAGGAGATGTGGTCAGACTGTATAATACTTCACAAAGAGTACTACTAGCAAAAGATATGTTACAAATGAGGGTGGATATTTTGTTATATCTGCTTATATACAAGGATGGATTGACACTGAACTACAGCAGTAACTATATGCTACAAATCCTATGGAATATAAGCAACTTTATCACAAATACTTTTTTGTACTCCCTCGGTCACTAGCTGCATATTTCAGTTTTCGGTGTGTCCCTATTGGAAACAGTTTAGTTTGCAAGAAACTGTAGTTCCTTAAGCAAGCTTTAAGGAAGAGACCTATCAATCTTAAGTGGACCTTAATACAGAAAGCACTGTAAGATAACAGCATACATGGCAAAAGATAACCATTTAAGCAACAGCTTAGCAAAGAAAGGTAGAAACCTCTGAAAGCGTAAGATAAACTCATGTGCTTAACACAGGCTGCCTAACACCATATAAGATGCTGAAGAAATAAGACACAAGATGTACAGGACCTCCATGCAGCCCTCTGAAGGCCAGGCCAACTACCATACTAGCAGCCAGGACTACTGGACACTGAATCCCATTGAATCTCAGCTCGTGTCTGAGAGTCAAAAAAGGGCAGTGTGTCTCCTATGCACCCTTTGAACACTCCTTGCTCCTATGGGCAGTCAGAAACAGTCAGAGGAAGCACTGTCTGATATCTGGGAAGCAGGACAGTTCACACAACTCTTGGAAAAATGYCATGACCTTTAATATTTTTGGAAACGTGATGATCTTCCACATGAACCGCTGAGGAGATCGTTCTCCTTTGGGTACAAGTTAGCACTTCTTTATATTATATTTGTGTATACAACACAAAAAGAAAGATGGGTCACTTCGGATGTTTAGGTATAACTTAGGAGGAGGAGGCAGGCAGCAGGAAATGAGCAGTCTGCCATGAAAAGAAAGAAGGAAAATCAGCATTGGCTGGCACCAGGTATGTGCCTCCTCTCAAACTAGCCGAGTTTCACTTGTTTCTTCCACTTTTAGTTGCCAAGACTGGTCTGTACTCTGCTTGGCTGGGGTGGAAAGAATACAGTTGAAGTATTTTCTGCCAAAGAAAAAAGGACTTCCTGCAAACTGSGTCAAGTCCTAAGTCTAGAGAAAGAATTGAAATGCCCTGTTTAAAACAGAACAACTCTGAAGACCAAATCTCTGCTCTGATGTAGTTGGGAGGTAGGCAGAGCTGCTCACCTTTTTGAATAGTTGTTGAGCAATTCATCCTACCTTACACACGCTGGGTTGCCSGGTTAACTCTCTGTGCAGCATATACAAGTATCACCTCTCAGAAGTAGGCTGTGATGTCCTATTCTCCAAGTTCTAAGACTGCATTTACATTGACTATATCATGAACCAGCATTAACAACTCTTCTAAAGAAATCCTTGCAAAACAAAAATCTCCCTTCCTGCCTCACTGGAGGGAKGAAGCTACCAGAATTTCCTTTACTTTCCCCTCAGTAGATATAAAAGTACTGATTACATCTCCTCTGGCTTTCTGTGCTTTTAGTGAAAGTTGAAAATATTTAAAAGATTCCTGTGTGGAAAAAGGAAAGAGAAGAGCTCTGCACAGAAAGCAATGAAGGAAGAGGTCTTACCACTGATTCTCTCATCTTTTCTGGGAGTGGATCTGCTGATGAATCTTGAAAATGTTGACGAAGAAAGTGAGGGACAAACTTGCATTGAATGAGAGACCTGTTTTTTAAAAAACAAAATTGATTAAATAAAAGAATCAGTTAGCATACTTCTAAACACACCTAATACTTGCACATATTCCCTGAGAGGGCAGACGAAACGGAGCAGCCTCAGTTTTCCTTCTTTATACACACAGCATGTATGTATTTTTTTGTACTGGCAACTGATACAAATCAGCTCTACCATCGCTCAGAGGGGAACCTCTTTGTCAGCCAGAGTAGCCCAATGATGTTACTCAGTCATTTAGAGGAATTAGTTGAGAGGATATTGTGGTATTCATTCCCTTTATTAATACTTTAGCTAAGCTAAAACCAATATGGGAGCTCTGTAGCGTCATATTAAAAAGGCCAAAGAGGTCATTTCTGTATAAATTGCATGCTAATCCCTAGTTTAAGATTTGTATCTTACCTTCTCCTCCATCTTGAACTTTATGCTGCAGTCCATACATTAAATACTGTTTTAAATCCCTTTAAGTTCCTTTAATTAAGTTCAGAGCAGTTTGAAAAAAATAGCTTAAACCCCCTTTTTAAGGGATTATACATTTTCATCACGAATGCACAATGAGCATTTGATGATGTTGTACACATATTTTAATCCTAAACAGGACATTTAACAACCATTTCAAATGCTGATGAGTTGATTAAATGTTATGGAATCACTAGCTAAATTTAAAAGGTGAAATGATTTAAGGGCTTAAAAGGAATTCCTTTAAAGCAGTTTTAAGGAAAGATGAGGGCTTTTGTTTCTTTATAGAAGTTAATGAAATGACGTTGCTTTCCAAGGGGTGATAGGGAAAAATATATTTAATTTACTTTATAACTGTAGGAGCTTATACTTCCATGGTTGTTTGGCATTTACCTGCCTGCATCTATTCCAAATCTGAATAAATCTCTCTAATACAGCACAAAGCTTCCCTTTCTTCCCTCTGTTCTCATGTCTGTGTTTCACACTGTAATGTGGAAGCTACGAAGAAAAAGGCATCTACAGAAAGTCTGACCCAGGTCTTGATGTAAATGCAATATACAGTGGCCTTTGAATAAACTTATTGGCAATAATATAAGAAATTCTTCCTACTCTGCCACATCACAACTTAGTGACATGTAAACATCAGATTCCCTGAATCTTCTGTAAGAAGGAATTTCTCAGCTCTTCCATGAGATTTAGAGGGATGTAAATCACTATTAGTGCCCTATATCCTTTCCTACTCCACCAGCCCCCATGACAGCTTTATGACACAGTGCCCACATGGCAAAACTCCTGTCACTCCTGACCTATAATTCTACCAGCATCTCCTGCATTTTCTCAATTAGAGATCACAATATTGGGACTTTGCCTTTGTTCCCTGTGTCAGCTCTTAACTTAAGCTACCTTTCCTGAAAGGAAGCAGAACACATATGAGCAGAAGCTTTASCAGAACATATATAAGCAGATAGGAAAAGAGGTCATCTCTAAAGCGAGGCACAGCCAACTAAAACTGACCTTGATGAAGAACTCCAATTGTCCCTCTTCCCAACATACAAAATGCCCTTTTCTTCCCATGGTGCTACCCGATGCATATCCCAGGTAAGCAGTGCGTCCTCCTTCTCACACAGCTGCCCTTCAGGCTGCACAGTAGGTACCAGTTCCCAGAGGGTGCAATCTGCCCCAGAATATTTGCCATTGCTGTTGTAAGAAGCACCAGCTCTAGCCCCAATGGATCTGAAGCGGTTTGCTTAATTTACAGGCCAGACACCAACCAGCTAAACATGGTGAGGGATTCCTAGCCCCCAGCAGTACCTTGGGGAGACAGTCTCTGTGGTTCTGAAACCCAAGTATCCCCCTGAACAGGCCACAGTTGGGGTGCTGCACAGAGCCATCAGTAAAGCACATTTGCAGACAACTTACATCAGCACAGACGGGTCGCTGCTTTGCCTGCTGAGGTGATAAGAAAGGGCAACCAGCAGGCCACAGAAGGCAGAGAAAAGCGCTGGAATGTGCTGGGCATCCCAGGGTTCCTGAGGAGGACACAAAGCAGAGTGCCCGGAGGTTAGCGAGGCAGCACTTGGTTTTCTTCTCTTTTAATGAAGTAGACTAAGCTGTACACGCAGCACTAGATGTATAGTATCTAGATTTGTACACCATAGATCAAGAATTTGCAGTCTTTTCTTATTTCAAAGTCTAATGTTATGAGAAAGGCTGAGATACCACAGGCATGTTTTTATAATCTGTATAGCAATTCCTCTGTAATCAGCAATTAGCAAAGAAACCAGGAAAACCACATGAAAGCCAGCTGCCCTCTTCTCTACAGTGAAATACTAGAGGCAAATCTTCATTAAAGTGAGATGGGAGTGAAATGAACAGCACGCTGTTTGCCTACGTGTCCTATTGATACGTAGTTACTTACCTGTGGCCAGCTTGCTTTCGGTGTGTGCCAATGTCACCCAAACCAGGTGCTGGGTACAGATCTGCCCCCTCACTCCTAAAGCTCCCTGCTGCTCTGCATGTTACCTACAGGCCTTGTGGGCTGGGTAACAAACCAAGGAGGGAGGGTGCCAGCCAAACTGTGCTACCACTCTACACGTTTATCAAAACCAGCTTCACCTGCAGGGCCCTGAGCTGCCTGTTAAGGAGCCTACAAAATTCTCACAAGTCCTGGCTATAAGAGCACCCAGATTTTGGCCGAGAAAGAGGCAGAAATGTGGAGGGTTGGACCAGAGGTATTTAACTCATCAGTCTTGTTCAATGCTTCTATGCAACTTCTACCTGATCAAGTGGATATGAGGGTCACCAAAGCATTTTCTAGGTGGGTTTTCAGAAGCAATACTAAGACAATCTCTCAAACATTCAGCTTTGCTTAGCGAGCATGAACAATTCATTTTCTTCCATAGGTATTGTTTTGCTTGAAAAGCTTCGCAACTTGTCCGTATGTGACCGATATTTTCACAGAATAAAGAGTTTTCATTCATCTTTTCTTTCAGCACGGAAGCATAAGTGACTTCTTAAAGCCAACTCACACTAAGACTTATTCCATTTCTTTCATGGAAAATGACATCTGGACAAGCCAAACTAGGTTGCTTTTAAGAGGGTTGTCCAATCTACCATAACATGAGATTTCTTCGGAGTTTCATTACGCTATTTCTTAAGAAATAGTATTTCAGAAGTGAAATTTTACTTCCAAGAATCACCTTCCCATCTACATACTGCTAAACAGCCCAAAGATGAAAGAGAAGCATCTAATTCTGCTACACAATATTAATCAAAATAGCTATTGCAAACAGAAGTGAAACACACAGTATTTCAAAAAATAATCCAGCATCATTTACTTGATAAATTTCTGCATCCACTTCAACTCGCTATTCAGGTGTTTCTAAATTCTGTGCCAAATACTTTGTGTTAAATTTTCCCTTGTTTAGTTTCAGTTTAGAAATGAATATTCTTTGAAACACAGAAGTAAGAGAAGCCAAAATGCTCCAAAAATGGCTGAATCGGAGTGTCATCAGATATCCAACACATCTGAGGGTAGTATAGCTAGATACAGATCCACCCAGTAGTRGATCTAGTGCATAAACTGCTCCTTCACCCTGCAACTTCTTTCAGAGTATTACAAGAAGCCCACCAGTATCAGATACCTAAYATCCAGTTTGAGGAACTATTCCAGCACTCTCTCCTGTAAAATACCACATAGTTGATTCCCCCTATTAATGTCTGAAGATCTCTCTGCTTTTTTTTTGCTATTGCTGTTGTTTTATTATTTTATTTTCTGCATTTAATGCATTACTTCTGCTTTTGGATGGCCTATGCCCCCATGCAGGAGAGTCCTCAGTGTTTGATACAGGCCTAGGGAGCACGATTTTCCAGAGTAATGCTACATAGCGTGTTACAAAAGAGGAGAATGAATAAAGGGCTCATTTCTCCAGCATTTCTGTGATATATTCTGCTCCATTTTGTCATTTTTCTCCCSCACTAATGATGCCTGGTAGAGCTTTAAATTAAAAAAGATGAAAAAAAMCCCAATATAGCCGATAATTGCACAATGATTCTTCTCAGTGGGAAAACAGGAATGACAGGTTTTATTCTCAGAAGCTGGTATTATCTGTCACACTAGACAGGGAGTTTGACTTCCTACTTTACCTCATTTGGTTGAGGTGACATGTGGTGCTTTCATACACARGTTTGACTTTGATGCACACACTCACGTAGGCATTTCTAAAACAAGTGGAACGGACTTGCAGAGTTAAGGATGAAAGTGCTGAGCTACAACAAATATTCAGGCAGGGGGGTGGGGGCTGGCAATAGTGACGCTCCATTTCAACCACAACAGAATCACCTAATCCCAAATAAATCCACTGAAAAGGAAGATAAGGCTTGCTTTGAACTTAGAAGTCTTACACCACTGGTGAAGGTGAGGAGGAAGGAGAATTTTTAAAGAGTGGAGACACTAATTTTCTATCTTATGTAATTTATCCTTCTTGTTCGTCCTTTCCTTACAAACTGTTGCAAACTTCTACCTTTCAAAGATATGTTAAAAAAAATCACATGTCCTACTCCAGAGACAACAAATATCCTGAACACAAGCAGAACCACTGAGATAAGTAGGAATACTTGTTACTTTTTACAGAATTGCTCTCCACCCCAAAGCAATTCTGTAGCCTGCTGCAGAACTTGCATCGCTGAAAGGCAAGTCCATGTCATTCTCCACAGAAGTGCACAGACTTTCTAACCTCCCAGTCTCTCACGATTTTATCACTGTTGTACCCAAGACTTTTTTGCCCTTCTCTTTGCTTCCATGTCCCAGCTTCACCATGGATCAACTCTTTTGCTCATAGCAAATAACCTGCAGGACAGCTATTGACAGTTAGTTGTTTCAATGTCTAAACACGTGATGCTAAATTACAAGAAAGACTGTCCTATTGCTTCTAAATTTATATCTACTTTCTGATTTTTTCATATAAAAAAGGACTCCCCTTGCAAAACATATGAAAATGGTAATGGCGACATGTTCTTACAAACTTAACTATATTACCACCACCAGGCTCAGTGAACACGAGCAACAGAAAAAGCAAATTGTATACGGAATTGGCATTACTCTTGACAGAGACAACTATCAGGGAGAGAACTTCACTAGCCTTATCTTCCCATCCTCCAGAGAAAATGAAACATTAAATGATAAGCTTAACTGATAAACCACTAGACCCTTGCTATCATTACCCTATCTTGGTGAAAGCTGTCTCTTTGCACTCCTAATTGCCCTCTGTAACCACCATATTTTCTATCCAAAATTCAAAATCCTTGAGGATTGGCTTGAGGCAGGGCTGAGCGTGCCTGCAAACACCACACCAGCCAGCAGGGCCCCAGCCTGTGCCTAGGGAATCTTAGGCTAGAGAAGAGGTGACCCAGAACCTCAAGTTGAAGGCCTGAGTACTCTGTTTTACACAGAGGTGGTGTGTTTATTTGAAACAGAAAGTGAGGATTTCTACAGTCCTAAGCAAGGTACAACTTTGCAGTTATATAAACCTACAAAAGCAACCCTGTCGTTTCAGATTCTGTAGACAATATTTTTTGTCATATCCAGGCATTAATTTTATATTATGTACACAGAAAACTGCAGGCACACCTATTGAAAAGTATGAGCACAGAGAGTCTGACTCTGCTTAAAACCATCATCACTCACCAAGAGGCATAATACCTGACAATTCCCTCCAAAATTAACACTCTTAATAGCTCGTGCTCAAACCTCAGGGGTCTCCAAATTGGAAAGTACATAAAATTGATGGGCCTTGTCTTTAAAACCTCCAGCAGGGCTGGAAGTATTTGCTGCAGTCAAAACAAAGGAGCTGAATATTCGTATGCTTTTAGTTTTCATCATTTAGGCACCAGGGAATTCTGTGTGTACACACAGGTCCAGTCAGGACCATTCAGAAATACCTCTGGGCAGTCTTAGCAGGTTGAGGGAGACGAGCRCGGGCAGTTCTTTCCCTCTGTAAGACCTGAAGACAAATACGTCAGAATTAGGACACAGATGAAGGCTCTGCTGTTGGAAACAGGAATCAAGAAGCTGTGCTCTGACTCTGGCTCTGATTAAAGAGTTCAGAACTCAAACCAGACAACAGATCAATCTGCATCAATTGTGAGCTGACAAGAATGAAYGGTTTAAAATATAAACCGGATTCTTAGTAACTGTCCATTAAAGCTATAATAAACATCAGAGAATTGATTTAAGTGAAAATGTTATGGAAACTTAGTAATATCCATTAAAAAAAATTCGTGCTTAAATAGAGCTGGAGGAGGGCAGCATTGCTACATAGGATGGCATTCACTTCAGCCTATTTCTTTTGACCCAAGTTCCATACCTGTTTTTTTGTTTTGTTTTTTGGCATGCTGATTAAGATAATCCCACAAGTTTCCCTAACAATAAAAAAAAAAAATCACAAATAATTAACCAGCTCTGGATAAATTTATAAATTTCAAATTCACGCCAGCTGCCTGAAACAGAACACAGAAGAACTGACTGACTGCAGAACATTTGGGGATGTGCCCTTCTGCCTCGCAGCAAAATACTCATGTACCAGTCACCAGAATATTGGAGACAGATACCAAGATGGCTACATCGCAGACTGAATATTCACGACAGAGATAGGAAGAAAAAAATACTTTTTTTTTAAAAAAAGAAGTATGTATTAAATATCCAGGCACAAACCACAAAACAAACGGAGCGGGAGACAAAAGTCAGTACAACATGGAATTCTAGCCAAGCGAAAAAGATGGTACAGTAGAGAATTTGTTCCTRCGTCTCCAATTTGATGGATATAATATCTGAAAATAAAATCTCCTCCAGGAAACAGAGATAACCCTTTCATACATCAAAGCTAAGACAGTTATTAGAGCTGCCAATTTCTTTTCAAGATAAAAGCCGAGAGCAGAAATAACGCCATGCTGAAGTGAACATAGATAATTTAAACTAAAATCAGTTACCCAGTAGGTTCAAAAGTAAGTAGAAAAGTGAGAAATTATAATA